AGTTACCTCCCTTAGACATTGTTTATGATAATGTGAAAGACCGGATTATCTAGCCAATTTTTCTCAAATGTTGACAACCTGTCCAGACTAATATTCGTAGAATATTTTCTGGAAGATAGAGACTAACTTTATTTAAGACACGGTTTGTTGGGGTTTTCATTTTTAAAATTATTATATAATAATTATACTATTATAATTATGTGTCGTTTATTTAGGATTTGTTTCATATAAACTTTTCACTGATATACCTTGTAATTTTTATTCTTATTTTACAGAATTGGACAAGATAATCTACGCAGATTATGGTGGTCCTGTTGCTTTAAAGTTAGAAATTGACACAAATGGGTAGCAACGCATATAATAATGTAACTGATTTACATTCAATCGTTTCCGTTTTTACTCAAATTTCAATTCAATTATGTTCGGCGAAATATGTCAGAAGTCTCAATTGAATGACAATCTCTAGCGTCTGGTTATTCCAGTCTACAATAATAGTATTTATTGTGCACACTCTCCAGATAAGAATATGGCATCACCGCTTAACATGACTTGTGGAATATGTCGAGAAAGTTTTTCTAGTACCTTATTACAAAAGGTCCTGAAACGCATTATGGTACACGATACGTGTACCAATGGTAAAATGATTATTTTGTCTAAAATATCGGATATCAGAAGCCCATCTTTTCCCGGTAAGATCACAACTGACAAATAATTTGTATTTCAAGGTGGAAGACTTTGGATGATATTGAGTTAGAGACTGGTGTAATTTGACAGATAAACAAGGAAAACTATGATTTCTATGGAATTTAAAGCAGCATTAAAAATTATGTTGCATTTATGATAAAAAAAACTTTAAAATGGTACGTATTGTCAATTTATATGAAAAAAACCCTCAAAAACATTAAACATTCTGAGTCAAATAAAATATGTGAATATGGTTAATGTATCTACCAAAAGCAACCATTAAATACATGCCAATCAAAAACATTTCCTATCTAGACAGTTAAGTTACACTTTTTCAAAGTGACAAGTGTTGTGCATGGGCAGGGTATGCCCAAAATATCACTATTAATATTACACAAACCCTGTTGGCAAGTTTACAAATCTATGTAGGCCTTCTAGAAGACAGAAACATTGTACATCTGTGAATGGATGTGATTCATGTATGTCAGCATCTAATTAGGGCCTAACTAGAACATCTGATATCACTTCCCATTGGAAAGTTTGCAAATAATCCTGAATTTTTACACATATACATGTATATTGAGAATTTGTGTATGTGCTGGATTTAGAAAATGAATTGAAAAATACACCTTTACATTACATGTATTTATTTTTCAGAAATATAGGCCAGGAACTGAACTGTGATTTAGGATTTGTTGACTTTAATATAATAACAGGTGGGTATAACAAATTGTGCACATTTAACGTGTGCACATTTGATCACAAGGTCCGTCATTGAGTCCAGTAGCGTAATTTCAGTTGTCCACTTGTATGTGACAGGCAATAGGGTCGCCTGTCAAGCCTCATGAGTTTTCTCCAGGTCCTTCCGCTGCTAAAGACCCCTACACACTAGCGTATTATTGAAATAAATTTGAACCATGTGTTAGTCCCAAAATGACCTAGTTTGTGTCCAGAAGACATTAAACCTCTCTGTCTGTGTCTCTCTCTCTCACACAGATAATACATTTATCATTATGGTATAACTATATACATGTAATAAGCCTTAGCAGACATACATACATTGTAATATAGCCCTGTATTCAAGTCATGAAAAATCCCTGCAAAAAGGCTGCTATTATTGTAATTAGATGTCATATCCGGAATATGAAGGCTATTTGTACAATGTGTACCTCATAGGGGCAATATTGCTGTCCAATGTGCCACTAGTGGTACACCATACATCTGCAGTGAAAGTAGTGCATGGAACAAAATGGCCTTTTGTTTACAAAATATTTGAAAACTTTGAGGTCCTATAACTAATTTTTGATATTTTTTTTCAGATTTCAAGTCTTGATGGTTGGAGTTTGATTATCTGAGCAACTTTTAGCCAGTTTAATTTTCCTGTGTTCTTTTTTATAAAGCTTGTAGCTGCGCAGTCCCGACTTAGGAATTTGCTTCATTATTTGGTAAATATTTTATTTCAAAGTCATTATTTTGGAATCCCATCCATTTTTTATTGTTCTGTATCATCTCAGGCACATGTAGATACCAACATATTTGCATTATAGCTGGTGTAAATCCCTTGGTGAACCCCCCATTTCAGGTGTTGTGACAAAATGGTGTCACTTTACCTTGCCCTTAATAGAAATCTAACTGATAATTATATACAACAGATGCAATGCACAATTAATGTAAGTAGGAAATGTGAACTGTACCGTAACATTGTTTCAACGTTTGATTTACAAAATTATCTAAGGAAACCTTTGTCAAATCAAAGTAATCAAGTATTATTTAAATTCCGCACGTCTTCTCACCTGCTAAATATTGAGAGTGGACATGAAATGAAATGAAATGGAGTTTAACGTCCTACTGTTTTGCTCCGAACTGGGCTAATGAAGACGGGCATACGCCATACAGTGTGCTATGAGGGAAATTTTGCCCGGACAGCGGCACTACGGCCTACTCTTATATCGAATTCCAACTGTCAAGGGATCTTTTACGTGCACGCCAATGAGTACACGGGACCTCGGTTTTTCGTCCCATCCGAACGACTAGACAGCTGTCCTTGTCAGCCCCTCCGTCCTGCATCACTGACAAGGGAGAACCACGCCAGAAAATCGGGATGAACTTTCTCGGCCAATGCAGGGATCGAACACCCGACCTCCAGGCTAGCGAGCCAGCGCCCTACCCACTTAGCCACCGTGATCCCCCTTGAGAGTGGACGATACTGTAAAATACCAATAGATGAACGTATATGTCTACTTTGTGATAGTCACGACATAATCACAACACTGCAGATGAATTCCATTTTGTCCCGAGGTGTCCTGTTTATAAATCGATCAGAGAACAATATCTTAAATGGTATTAACTTGTAAGACCTTCGGTATTTAAACTCACACAGTTGTTCGCATCAAACAATGTAAAGGTGTTAAATAATCTAATAAATTTTTAAAACAGGCTATATGTTTAAGAGAAAGTTTCATTACGGTTCGGTGGCTGATTATTTAATTATCGTTGTTCTCAATGACTCTGTATAATTGTGCCATCAATGTAATGTACATTTTTGTATCTATATGCCGTAAGGCATTTGATCTTGAATAAAACAGTTATTAGATCTTCCTGGTACAATTATGACATATGCCCATGAATAGTTAAACTGGTTTGGCTTACAATACGTGTGAACGCAACACTATCCTGACTTAAAAATAACTGTCTGTGAAACTTATTGAATCCCTAAGTTTAATTATCACCAGTGGCTTTGAAATACAAGTCTATTCGGGTTGATTTATTATCTTGCATTTTAAAGTCGTCTTGAAAATGGTCGAATGAATGCATGGTGAAATAATTATACTTCTATAGAATATGTTTTATCTTTTCCAAGTCCAGACGAAATAGTCTGGTAATTATAACATTAAAAAAGACCAAAGATTTTATTTGCAAAAATGTATTTGTAGTTGATCTTTCATGTAAACAGAGATTGTTTGAACATTGATAATATATTCTCTTTTTTAACACGCCTGTCAGGCAATATAACGACGATTTCATTGACTGTCTATAGATTTTTTTTTTCAAAAAATACAAAACATTCATTTGGTTGCCTAAACAGCATGTTCGCGAAATAGAAAAACATCCATTTCTAAAAATATCCTTTCGTATGATTTTCTAATGAGTTGCATAGAAAAATTCAGAATGTGGACCCAGGCGCCCCCTTCTACTCAATCTTACTGTTTCGTTATCCCCTACAAAACAAACAGTAAGGTTTTTCCAGGGTAAAAGGTAGTCTCTATCATTCAGACAGATATTCTATGAATATAAGTCTGGATGTATTGTCACCATTTAAGAATAACTAAGTCGTTGGTTGATTATCCGGTCTTTTTATATCTAAAAACTCTTAAGAGAGGTAACCATAGTCATAAAACAAGTTGTCGACACCCATGAAATTAATTTGGAAATGCCATTTCAGTAAAATCCATTTGCATTGGCTATTCAATATCCAACGCTCTGATTATTTTTTTTTATTATAAAATGTCTCTGTTCAATGACTACATCTATGTTTTTATTAATCCTAATTCGTCGTCACGATTCATGTTTATATAATAATAATACATGAATTATGGGATTTATTTCGGGAGGGGCGCAACCCTTTCTTAACCTCAGCTAAAAAAGTTATATTGTCCATGCGTAACCGAGAGTTTGGTTTTATTTCGCCAAATGTAAACAAATGACAAAGACCCTCTGTGCGTTGAAGACTGGGTGACTGAGGCTAGGTAAAATGTGTTATTTTAACTACCAAATATACGAAAACCCGCTTCCAGCAGTCTCTAGATTTGCGACAATTATTCCGTCAAGGACCATAATCTTTTAGAGACATTATTTTTTTTACTTCTATTCCTCACATGGAAAATAGACGTTATTGGGTGGTGATTTATCCTCTGTTACTTTCTTTCTGTAAATTTTCGCACATTGGTAATGTCACATTTATAAGTGTGTGACTGTGTTTTGTAAAATTTATGAAGGTTGTTACTCGGACATCTTTAGTACGATAATATAAAAGAAAACAGGCGTGGTACTCTGTTGACAAGGCTCCCAACTCAATAGTTCAACCTTTTATCGAATGTCTGTCGAAAATTGTAAAATCAGGAGTGGCAGAAACAATTTCAGACAGCTACTGGCCGGTGGCAAATAATCTTTAGTGTTCCGGGAATTTTAACCATACGTGTTAATGACCCCCCACCCCCACCCTAATACAAATAGTCCTGGCTTGGGCACCTGAAAACTTCCGGAAAAAAAAGATTTACTGGAATGCAGTTCCTAAAAAAACAACCAACAAACAAACATTGAGGAAACCCTTAATTCAATGCGATTGGTGCTATGTCAAATATATATGAATTATGTTTACTTCAGATGGCTTGAATAGAAATTATTACTATTAATAATAATTCGACAGGGTACACATGGACAATGTTTGGAATGTTCGTGGATAGCTAACAAACTCTTTTTTTGTACTTTTGCATTATAAAGTGTATTACAGTAAGAAATAATTATCAATTATCATTATCAAATCTAAGGGTGTAAGTTTAGAATACCGAAATCTATTAAAAAATGATAAATATACGCGTACAAAATATACAAATAAATACATTACATTAAAGTGGGACTTAATACAAATAATTTGAATTAATTCAATATATATAGCAATTAATTTACAGTAATGTTTTGAAGGACTTTCTCCATTAAGATTTCATCTATAGAACTTGAGGTCTAGTTTGTGTCTTATGCCATCTTCTCGGTGTCACAGTGTTTGACAATCTTAACCTGGAATTAAATAATTTATATGTACATCTAATTTCATTTATCTGTGATTGAAAACTTTTTTTTAAATAAACTTAATCAAATTTAGATTACGTTCTTTTAACAAGAATCTATAACCGTGGCCCTGTAAAACAATTAAAGGGGACTTATTGTGGAGTACTTATAAATTAGGAAATGAAACCATGGCTGAACAAGACAGTGTAAAGAGTTGGAAAACAAAATGGTTTTCACAGCAATAATAACAAAACACAAGAAAACGCTGTCATGCTTACACTATCAATATGGCCGTAAAAATCTTCACTGTCGTTGGAGGCGACAGGGTTTCCACCAACTGTCAAACCACATTCGGTTTTCTTAATAGAACCTGGAAATAAGACACACAAAATCTTCTTTCTAAAGTATTTTTGATAATATAAGGTAGCAAACTTCGATGATGTCGTCTCAGAAACTCTCCCGATAATTTCATTCTGTGCTGTTCTTGTCCTCTTAAGGCAATGGATTCATTGTCAACACTTCAATTTATGTTGTTTTGTTTGTAAAGTCCCCATCCACAATAAAGCTGTTTTGTTTGTAAAGCAGTTGAACTTTATCCATTGTTCGAACAAGTCCGCATCCACAATAAAGCAATATCGCATACAAAGGTGACATTTATTTGGCCTACTATAGCAAACATGCCTATATTTCTAGCTGTTACTGGGTGCTTCAAATGGCTAGTCAAGATATTTGTTAATCAAAACTCGTTGCTCCTGCGTGTTTTTTTTATATATATATCTATATGGATATTGGATTATTTATCATACCTGATCCAGTGATTTGAGGACAGGCTATTCCATTTATAGACCAAGCAGTAGAACCATTCAATATAGAAACATCGATATCATACCATCCGTTTGGGCTCTGTAAACAAAAAATACAATTATTTCAGTATACATTGTGTTCAACTTTTAAGAAATCGAAAGTGTGCAAATGGGTGACTGGAATTTATAGGGGCGTTATTTGTAGTCTTCGTCGTTTTCGATTTGCCGTGATTTGACTACAAAGTTACACAGGAGTTTGCAAAATGTGTATACAAACTTTGAGGTACATCTCTCCACCGTGCGAAATGCCATATTTCAATAAAGCCCATGTTTTTAGATGTCTATAATTCTGATGAAATATATTTGAAAACTGGAATGGTGGTTCGGTGAGAATGGCAAGGGCTCATCAAACCGGTTGGCCCAGGTTCAGGCCGGGATTTTCTAGAATGGTGTAAGACGGAGGGCCTGGCAAGGAACAGCGTTTGGATGGGACGAAGAACCACGGTGTCCAGAGGCGGATCCAGGAATTTTTGCATGAGGGCGTTTGCCAGGTACCTGTTAAGGAAATTTGACAGTTGACAATGCATGATGCCATCATCGTCTCCAAATTACGTAAGTATAAATAGATACTGAGCTTTTTAAAGAGAGAAATCCAATAACCCAATTGACGTCAGTTTTTATTACGAATTAACAGGGTCACATTGTGATTCAATTTCATTTATGCAAAGCATTAATTGTGATATTATTACATATGTCTATATCATTATCTTCCGCTTTGAATGCCCATCCCATCCCATCCCATATCTGATGATAATGGACAAAGGGCACGCCCGTGACACTTTTCGCATAAAAAGTGTTCTTTCACAAAAACTTTTATGTAGCTGAGCAGAGGGGGGGAGGGGTAGCCACCAACCCCTCCCCCCTCTGGATTCGCCCCTGGGTGTCGTGTAAAAGAGCCCTTGACAGTTGGTAATGAAATGAAATGAAATGGGGATTAACGTCCCACTGTTCTGCTCCTACTAGGCTAACGAAGGCGGCCTTAGCAGTTGGAATTTCCCCCTGAGCGGACAAGTATGACATTAAATCCCACTTCATTTCTCCTTTAAATTGGCTTTTACGAAAGAATTCGCAAAATTCAAGTCTGGCCATTATGAATAGAGAAAAGTGAATTTTAATTATAACTTTGCTGTTTTACTTACAGCTGCAATGTTTTCACACATCTCTTGGTTGGAGCCACTGGTGTGGATGGTCAATGTAAAGTTACGTTGTGCTGGACTATAGGTAAGTTCGATGGCGGCTGGACTGCCAGTACAGGCATTAGACAGAATAACTTGGTCGTTATTCTTGTAGATGTGGCCAGTTTCTTCTGTTGGTCGCACTCTTAATTTCATCATGGCTGTTCCAGTTAAGTCGTTGTATTTAAATACAGGTAAGTAAAGGGAGATACCTTTAAAGTTAGCAGCACCATCTACGTTAGAGGCGCCATCTACCTTTTCCAATAAGATATCTTGGTAATTCTCATTCTTACTGTAATAGTTGGCAAAATTAACAAACTGCGTGCCGTTACCTCTTAGATCAACGAGTGTTTGACAAGTTACAGTGTTTCCGCCAACTGAAATATAAAAGTTTATAATATATACGATTTGTTTAACGTCCTAGTTTTTTATACCAACCTGGATAAGAAAAATGGTCTCTTTTTTGTATTCATGTCTTAAAGTCTTTGGACGACATTTAATGGATTGAACGTGAATGCTGAATATCTAAAAGGAATATCATCCCAAACTTGGTTCTTCGAGTATTTACAACGATAAACTGAAAATTGTCCAAATTCGGCACCCACTTGAGACGACATAATCGGGATATGGTCAAAAACTAGCGCCACGTATAATCTTCGCTAAACCCTGTTGATTGACCTCTAATCAAATCGGATTGAATTCATGCCGGGTCGTTATCTACCGTTTATTGAATCCGTGCCGGTGGGTTATCTACCGTTGATTGAATCCATACTGGAAGGTTATCTACCGTTGATTTTGTTTTCTTGGTTAAATGCATGGATTAAGCTGTAGAAACTTTGATGTTTTCCGAAAAATATAAATAGCGTACAAAGGATTTAGGTATTCAAAATAATATATTCTATTCTAAACACTGCATATTTTTACCGTCGAGGAATAGAAGTCCCTCCAAATACTATAATATAATTAAGAAGATTATGACGTATGTTAACAGACGGCGTCTGATTATGAAATACCTGCAGTGACGTGATAAAAGAAATATGACATTATGTCTCGTGTAAATTGCAGTAAAGGTCATTGTGACCTAGAGTAAAACCACCTGATAAATTGTAAGCATACATTCATTTGGTATTATTTAGAAATTATCATTTCCATTAGTTGTGAATATATTTGCTATGCTAACCATGTACTTGAATCATATTTTATTACATTTCCAAGGTGGCTCAGTGCGTCGGGGGTTGGCTTACTAACCAGGAGGTCCGGGATTTTCCGGCGTGGTTTCCCCTTGTCAGTGGTGCAGGACGTAAGGCATGAAAATCCGAGGTCCGGTGTACACTTTTGTGTGTAGGTAAAAGAACAGATGACAGTTGGAATTGGATACACTGTATTGTGTATGACCCCTCTTCATTGTCCTGGTCAGTACAGGTAACAGTAGGACGTTCATTACATTCATTCACGTTTGAATGTGTACGTTATCAGCAGGTAGTGGTATTCCCCTACTTTTAGTTGATATAACTATTACGTACCCGTTGGAGCTGTTGGAAGACCTCTCATATCTTCCCCACATTGGCATAAAGTTTGATTCCATACTAAAGTAACTGGGCAGTTCATTTCAATAGAAGGATAATTGGGGATGACGACCTCGTATTTAGTAGGGTCGGAAGACGGTTGGTAGGTACAGTAACACTGGCATGTTTGTGTATTCAATTGTTGAGGGAAATAACACTCTGGTGGACTGTTACAATCTGAAACTATTTAAAGATAATTGTTTATTATAAAAATCACACGTAAGTCCTAAAACAACAGACAGTAAAGACTTGACTATCTGCTTAAAATCAGTTTCGTTTTTCCTTTTCATGTTCAAAATTTTATAGTTATCGGGCAAACTGATCAACATTAAATATTCGTTTGATCGATACTATCGCTGACATCGGGTCGGGCCAATTGACTCTCAGTATAACTATTTTTTCTGCTGCAAATTAAATTTTAAAACCATTTTTGTTGTAATTATTATAAAAATAAAGAAAGGTGTTTGAAGTATATCTGGATAACAAATGTAAATAAGTGCATAAAATAGTACGCGGGGTCGTAAAAAGTGAGTAAAAGCCGCCAATTCTACCCGGACCAGTTTGTAATTTATAGTCCGATGTAAACATCCCACGTGGGATGTGATGTCACACATAGAGCTATACGAGAGGTGACCTTATATGTCTGGCATCTTACACAAATTTAAAAGAACGCTTTTGCGATACCGCTGTGACTGTAATCTACATAAAACCGAAGTATATGTAAGTGAAGATAAGATTGTAAAAATGCATAAACTGCGACATAATATACTATTTAGTCTCGCATGTACGTATTGTCCCGATCCAAAAACTACATAGTGCGCATGACTAAAGAACAAATACTTATATATACATGCAATGCCGGATTTAGATGAAGAGAGACCCTAGACCATTCCACCTTTGAGGCTCCTTCTCATACCCCACACAATTGAGGATAATGACGGATGTTTTAAACTACAGTGCGTGTAAGAAAGGCTTATAACAGTGTCAGAAATATTATACACCTGGCCGGATGCTCCGTAGATATTGAAGGCCTAGGCTTCAGTCTGCCGGGCCTATAGGTTAATCTAACACGTATACATAAATATCTCTGTGCAATCGATCACTAAATATCATTTCCCAACTTATACAAGTTCATGCAGTTTAAGAGTGACTTGCCGATCAGGATCTCAAATGTGGTCACATCAAAAAGATTTTAATACTTTGATATTCTTGATCTTTAAAGCTGAACTGCGATTACAAAACTACTGGTCGATTTGTTATTGTTTAGGGTATGGCAGTTTTTCTCTCTTTTTTTTAGAGCAAAAGTACATCGTGGTTGATTTATTTCGTCTAATTAGTAAAATAATATGTACCTGATCAAACATAATAATTGTGTAGCAATAATATTTTCTGTGAGCTGATAGTGAAAAAACTTCAATCAGTCAAGAGATAATTGTTAGTTGACAGGTAACCGGATGTGGATACCTTGCTTGATACGGGGTTTACTGGAAGTGGGTGTGGCCTGTCTATGTGTTTGTTTGCCCAAAGCCATCGTCATTGTTGTTCTACAAATTGAAAACAAGAATGGCGGTCGTTTAGGGCGTTACCTTTTTTTATTTAATTATTTCTGTAGTTTTGTAATCGGAGTTCAGATTTAATGGTTTATTTTGTGAATTACTAAAAGTTATATACATGGGGTCACTCCGATACTCCAGTTTCTAAACCCTGGACAGTTAACGAATATCGGATTATAATTGGCTTAATCAAGTGGGCCAGTTTCATGGTCTAGTGAACTGTGTTCATCATATTTATCATGATAATGAGCACTTTATTATTAAAACTTATATAAGTGGTGAATGCTTGTAACATTCTATCCTAGAATGATTGAAAATGTTGTATATTTTATGGGAAATGTTTGTAAGTGGACGGACAATGGTTAATGGAAATGTTTAAATGAAAACTTGTACATTCTATATGTTTAGTAGTGCTTACATTACTGGTTGATTACTGATATTGCTTGTAGATTATGAAAAATTGTATTTTTGTATAATGTGTAAAATGAGTGGATGTGAAATAGAATAAAATATTGAATTGAACTGTCTCTCAGTGAACTGATTTTATCCCCTGGTAGACCCTTAATTAATCCTTATTAATCCCCCTTGTTGCATTTTTAATTGTTAATTAATCTCCTCCTAACAAAGGGACAGGCATACCGGGGTCAAATCGTTATACATGTATATCATATAACTCACCTTGGGCAACTGAAAACCCGAAGAAAGCAGCTAAAACAACAACGTTACGAATGGCAATCATGGTAATAAGAATCTGAAAAGGAATGAACACACGTTATACCAACAGATACATATATTTTGTTAATTTGAAGCTAATTAGTCAACAGTGTCAGTGAATGGATAGTTTGTTTTCGAGGGCAGAAAGATATGTTCTGGATATTCCTATTTTAATTTTATGACTTCAAACGTATACCTTTAACAATGGGCCGTAAACCACTCACGATATCACAAGTCTGAGCTATGTTTTGTTAAAGAGTGATGTATAGTTTGTATCAGAATTCGTGTGTCTCAAGTACAGTTTTTTTCTAGTCACACATATGTTAACCAATACTGGCGTACATGCGCGAAATGGGTGAGATATACCATTCCCTGTCCTTACCATAGTGAACCAGAACAGTTTTGATCAGAGTAGTTTGGTTTTAAATATAGGAGCTAAATCGAAAGGGTTGGTTAAACAAATTCTTATATTGTTACAGAACACCGGATAAAAATTACCATGGTGTATGTGAAGCTAGTTGTAAAAAAATCATGAAAGATTAACAGGCACATGCAAACAATCGTCTTTGGCTTTGTGTCTGTGTTTAGAGCAGTGCACCGGGGATTTAGGGCGTGTATTAACGTTAATTGGTCAGACTACTGGCGAGGGAATGTGATAGATGATATTATGTCACGTAATGGACAGGTGTGCTGTCTTGTAGATAATTGATTAAAGACAAACCTGTGACCTTAACACCCATTGACGTAAATCTATCATTTCGTTACATGAACAAATCCTTAATTTTATTATAATTACATCTGTGTAAAAATGATGGACGCTTTGCAACAAAGTATCATAAGATTGACCACAATATTGATACTTTTATTGATTTCAAGAAGTCTAAGAACACTAGCTTAAAATCAGTTAATTTTAAAGTTCATCATCATGAAATTAGTTTTACAAATGAAAAATATCTGTCATTAGGGTTGTATTTCTCAGTGTTTAGTAAACATTACTAGTTGTATTTAGGTATAAAGTGTTTGAAAAATATCAATTTTCACGATGTGGAGTAGATTTTTCTGTCTTTGTAGTTTCTAGGTCGAACCTTTCTAAATTTTTGTATATATTTTGTGAACTGAAATCCACCAGAGTGTGTTTAACACATACCAAAGCACATATTTAACAATTTTGTGCGATTTAAACATATTTGAAAGGACTACGGCCCCCAAATCAAGCATGTCCGAAATTTGAATGATTAGTGATAACAGTAACTGTAATTTGCCAAAGCTTTTCAGTTTAAAAACACATACTTGGTATTCGTTCAATGTAAATTGTTAAATTGTTTATGCCATGTTAAAGGTTAGCTTGACAATACATAGAATGTATTACAAAAAGGTTAAACTTTATTCAATAAATGATCCTCGTCAACAATATATTCCATGCTCAACCATATTCATACGTGATACTTATTTTTTATCACCCAAATTAGGACATGTTTCAGGATATTTCTGTTTTATTATTTACAAAAAAAATTAAGGAATAGATTGATGCATAATTCCTTTTAATGTCTAATGTTTTCTTTTAATTAGCATGAATTTGACATTTATTACTGTGTAACAAAGGAAGTGACTTCAATAGTGCCTTGTCATTAGAATATCACACTAATGGCTTACTAATATGACACATGACGTCAATATTTGGACAAATATAAATTGGTCTTATTTGGAGATTATATTAAAGAAAAATACAATAGGTCTTAATCGGTAGTAAATTACAAAATCAAATAAGACAAAATCGAGCAGGAGCAAATACAAAAAAAGAGGTTTTCGAACACTTGCTCTAATTTGTGAAAATCGCTTGGATTAATTTTGATATTGTCATTCATGAAGGTCTTGGCTTTTAAAAGTTTTTAAAAAGTCAGAAAACATCCACAAAGCATCAATATCAAAATTGCCTTTAAGTCGCTGATTATAAATTGAAATTTTGTCGCATTTTTCGAAAGAATTTAATTTGAATGGTTGTATATAAAGATAAAGCGATGCGTGTATACATGTAGTAAGTAACAATATATTTACCTGTCTCTTACAACTCTCGTGTAACACTGTCTAATTCACCGAGCTGATGTGACGAATTGTGTCTACCGTCCTCATTAAATAGACAGACACAAAACGCCGCCGGTCATACGCCATAGTGCATATTTCCCGAAATAATACCTACGTCACAATCTGAGCGTTGGCGTTAACCGTTGAACCTTAGCATGCACTTGTAATGCCTTGTAGTCACATTTTTAACTGCATCGTCCAGGATTTTAATTTTATTTGCCTGTGAACCGATCCTATAAACAATTCACCTATCCTTCCCATAGAAAGTTTTCAACGATGGCCGATTCTCATTTATTTCAGACAAGCCTCGAGGAAGTTTCTGATAAAATCTGTAACCTCACCATCCCTCTAAAACTTCACATATCTCATTAAATTTAATGTAAAATGTTTTAATTGTTACGAATATGTTCTTGTTTTCCATTATTTAACCTACCCTACAAACGCAAGTACATTTTATTGAGAAAAAAGAGAACATCCAAGAGTTATGTCGCGTTCCAGAAAATGTTGACGGACGAATGAAGAACGAACCAATTATTTCCCCCGAAAATTGTTATTGCTGAAGATGGTCATCAATGAATTCCTGTTAATTTCTAAAAGAAAAAAAACATTTGAGGACACTTCTTTGTTAAAATGCGCCAATTTCACTCTTAAAATATACTCATTTATTCCAGTATGTTAGAAGACTTGAGTCCTGTCATGTATATTTAGATAACGAAAAAGACTTACAATACATGCTTTGTAAAATTCACAAACAATATCATAGCAAGTGCAAGAAAATCATAGCATATAACAACAGCTAACTGCAGAATCCCGAAAGACAAAGGCGTAGACAACGATACAAAATATGGACGATGAATGCCCTTAAGAGAATTATCAAATCAAGCGAACTAATAGAATTTATAAGAAAAATGCCATGGTTATTGAAGCTCCAGTAGTTTCAGCCATTTACAACAGAAAGATCGTTTCTTATTGTGACGCCACCTTTATATTCTATATCTCACTCTTTGAAGAAAAAAAAATGACAAATGTAGGGAAACAAATATATTTTCTGTTTGAAGAACATTTGTTGTTTTTATTCCTTATGTCGGATGTTTCCTTAATAATATAACAAGGAAATGTAGCTGTGTGTACGGTAAATTGTCTGTAAATTCCGTTTCTTTAAATGTTGGTCTTTCCTTATAGGCCTGCAGCCAAAATTTCTAGCGTGAAGTTCCGCTACATGGTCCTCCCAAATAAACGAACTATACGTGTTTGGAAAGCTTATAGCACCAGGAACATAAATCCAGAGAGTTCCAAGCAAAAAGTTTGCACTAACTCGATTTAGGGTCAGATGAATTTTGTGATAATTGTCAAGGAAATGCTATATTTATACTAACAATTGTGAAGTTGACATAAAATTAAATATTGGTGAAAACACCCAATGCCTTCATCCTATGCAAAGAATATGCTATTGGTTAAAGGACAGGGGAACACACAGAATTTCGGAAATCCATTTAATGGTAAAAGGAGTTATCTCCTTTTATGGAAAATATCAATAATCATTGATAACAGTATTTTGTTTAAAGAATTTATTTGATAAACCGAACAGGATTTGAGGCTAAAGGTCTAACAAATATGGAACCTGAAACATAGCATCTACAGATATTTAGTTTTCTCACTAAAATAGATATGGCCAAAACTAAGTAATACTGTAAATGTCATCATCAGTGTGCAAGGGAGCCGCGGTGACTCAGTAAAGGACTGGCTCACTTATCAGGAGGTCCGGGGCTTCATCCCCGTGTTGACCTAGACCAGTGGTTCTCAACCTTTTTTTTGCCAACGGCACACCTTGGAACACATGAAAAAATAGCGGCACACCTGGCTAAATATATGTGAAAAATATTTGAATTTTGCAAAATAAAAACATGTCAAGTCATAGACGGCATACAACCGTAGGCACATACTAGTCATAGACACAGTGAATGACTCGAACTAAATAAAGAAAAACACTGCTATAAGCTTACTTTATTGCAGTGTTTTCGAATTTCATCAGTCAAATAGCTAGCTTCTTTAGTGAGAAATTTTCTTGGTGTGCCGTTCAAAATTTCGCGGGGCACTTAGGAAGATTTAGCGACACACCTGTGTGCCGCGGCACATTGGTTGAGAATCACTGAGCTAGACAGTTTCCCAAACTTTCCACCGTTATTTCACCTTGTCAGTGGTGCAGGAAGTTGGGGTGGGGGGGGGCTGTGATGGTCAGCGTCTAGTTATTTGAATGGAATATAAAACTGAGGTCCTGTGCACACGTTGACGTGTACGTAAAAGAACTTCAAATTCGAAATAAAGTGTAGACCTTAACGTTGCTGTTTGGACCAATTCCCCCTATAGCATAATGTATGGCGGGCGTATACGTACATCTTCATTATCTCGGTTGATACTGAACAGTTAGGCATTAAACTCCATTTTTTTTTCTCTTCATTACAATTGCCACTCCCATACAGTATTATATAGGATTTGCCATATACATGTATCTATTTTAGTGGGAAAATTATATATAGATGGCTTTCTTCAATTCAAATATTTAGCCCCAAATCTTATCTGAACTAAGAGTTTACAAATATATTAGTAGAAATACTGTTTTGGGCGGAATTATTTGCACCCCCGCACCCCCCCCCCCACCTCCCAGATTCCTTGAACCGTCCATTTTTCGGGCAAGGTATTTCAGTTTTTCGGGCACCAACATCAGAGAATGGAGGATGCGACCTTATCTCATATAAGTGTATAATTGTGTAATTGATTAAAAAAAACCCCCAAAACAACCATCACAGCTTTGTGGAAAATTCATTTTAGTTAATGATTGATTCATTCAGAAAATTTGGGTGACAAAGAAATTTTTCAGCGCCCCCACCCTCCCCAACTCCCAACTAAGATTGTCCCCCTACACCCATGTAGCCCCTTACCTTTTCTTCAATCCGATTCAGTTTGTTGAATCAAATATTGTTTAAACTATTGTTTTCCCTCCCATCCGAACGACTGGCCATTGTCTTTCGAGCCCACTCCCATCCCGTACCACTGACAAGGTGGGGGGGAGGGGCGCACCGGGGTTGTCCTGAATATGTACATATCTAATCTGTGTAAGTGTAGTAAATGTGAAAATGAAACAAAAAGACTGTTAAAGAAACCGAATTTGATGCTTATACATTGAGTGACAGTGATGGCGATAACGACCAACTTTGATGACATTTAAAGTGCAAATAACTGCGTAATTTTGATTTTCAATAATTGTTTTACGATTGTTCCCCTACACCCATGTAGCCCCTTACCTTTTCTTCGATCCGATTCAGTTTGTTGAATCAAATATTGTTTAAACTATTGTTTTCCCTCCCATCCGAACGACTGGCCATTGTCTTTCGAGCCCACTCCCATCCCGTACCACTGACAAGGTGGGGGGGGGGGGGGCGCTCCGGGGTTGTCTTGAATATGTACATATCTAATCTGTGTAAGTGTAGTAAATGTGAAAATGAAACAAAAAGACTGTTAAAGAAACCGAATTTGATGCTTATACATTGAGTGACAGTGATGGCGATAACGACCAACTTTGATGACATTTAAAGTGCAAATAACTGCGTAATTTTGATTTTCAATAATTGTTTTACTTCAATGAATAATTAGCTTTTTTCTTATATCTATATTTGTTAGCAAATTAGATAGTTATAGATATGGTTTCATTTTAAATGCTTGTAATTCAGCCTTAAATTTCGGAACTAGAGGTTTACAGCTACCTCCTGTAGTAAGAATAATGTAGGGTCTAATTGAAAGGGTATGTAGGTGTGGGTTTATGTTTTAGTGGAAAAAATCACGTGGTTTCAATGCGATTTACAAAACTACGGACAGAGTCCGGTCTCCATTACTTCGTAGACACATTGCTCAACCAATGTCAACATATCTCCTTGCTCATCAGACTAGGCGCTCCGCCAATAATTTCTGGGTAAATACCCACTCACCAACCCTTGTAGTCCCCTGGGACCCCATTAACGATATAAATATTGGGCTTGTGTGCTCACACATGGTCTTGTGCGTCATACAGCATCAGCAGCCAACACACACCTAGAATACTGTTATCAATTGCAGACATTTGACAGAAAGAGGGATAACTCTCTATTATCGTTAATGGATTTCCAAAATTCTGTATGTTCCCTTGTACATTATGTTTTCTGCATTTTGGTTTAAATCAAAATTTAACCAATAGCATATTTTTTGCCGAGGATGAAGGCATTGGGTGTTTTCACCAATATTTAATTTTATGTCAACTTCACAATTGTTAGTATAAATATAGCATTTACTTGAAAATTATCACAATTTTCATCTGACCCTAAATCGAGTTAGTGGAACCATTTTGGTTGGAACTCTCTGGATTTGTGTTCCTGGTGTTATAAGCTTTCCTAAAATGTATACATCTGGTTTGTTTATTTGGGAGGACCATGTAGCGGAATTGTGTTTCTGAGCAAGCTAGAAATTTCGGCTGCAGGCCTATTAACCGGTGTGATAATTTGTGAGAGTGTGCAAAGTAAAATTGTAAATTAAATATAATACAGTGGATCCTGAAGGCCAAACCCCAAGTCCGTAAATATAATAAAAACAAAAGTGTAATAGTACTAAAACTTCACCAAGTTAATATTCCAAAACCCTATTTTGTGCGAGTCGTCCCACCACTACTATAATGCAATTAAACTTTTAGCCTTAGGGACGAATATTCAAATACAAATCCAATTAGGCTACATCTTTAATCTCAAGAAGCTTTTTAGACATCAGCTAATATTAATGACTAAACAATAGAACAGAATGATTTATTCATTACGTAATGTTCTTTCTTACGTAAGTATCAAAAAGTGTGGGCGTGTAATAATGTCTCAAAATTTTATTACATTATACGTTATAACACTATAGGGTTATTTTAGGTCTACGAAAAGTGTTCTGCTTAATATAGAAATCTGTACCTACATGATGTGTGACGAAAACTAGGGTAATGAAGTAGCTTGCATTACTCTGCTACTATCTTAGACTAACTCAGACATTTATGTCAGTATCCATTTCTGGAAAGTA